GATCCAACAGAATATGAATTAAAAGATACAATCAATAGTCGTCCACTTTATCGTGATCATCCTAAATCATTAGATTGTCGTGGACCAGAATTTGATTTATTTATTGGAACATCAATTATAGCTAAAAATGATGAGATCAACAATTCTTCTAAAGCATTACTATGCCTTTTGGTGGAAAACTCAAGTTTAATAGAAGTCGATTTTGCTTTCATGTTTCCGGAAGATTTACGTATTGAACTACCAAATTGGGCAGAAAGTGGACATTATGAAGAAGCCGAACTTCAACAAGTAGATCAATATTTAAATCTTAACTCATTTATATTATATGTAACATTTGTATTTGTAAAGATAATATAGTCTCATCTCTAAAGATTGGATTGACTTGTAATTTTAACCTAATTTTTAGTTATCAAATGTTTTGCTGTTAAAAAAGAATTGAACATTTACTTTTAAATACAATTGAATGTTAGATGGTGGTTGGAGGTAGTCGACAGGAATACCTGGACCTAGGTTTCATGCTAATTGACACTCGTCAGCAAGGTGTACCTGTAATCTTGAGGGAACTAATGCTCCCTGACGGATTCGATCCCGTGACACTCAGCTTCACAGTCGATAGCATTCGATCTGCACTAATAATAAGGACTAGACAAGCATGACATTGATCACCACCCAGTGATCAATCAATTGTGACAACTCAATGTTACGTGTAAATTTAAATAAAGATCTGAATTATTACTATGGGGATTTGTAGAGATTGTAGTAATTTCCGTGTCGAGTGTGAAACAGTTATACACTTCAGATAATAAATAAAGGATTGCACAGAATCATGGATCGATTGAAGTTAGACAATAATACCGTTAGATGCAGACTCAATAGTTTGAAATTTAAGCGTTTACTCATGAAACCGAAGGTCCTGAGTCCAAATCCCATGTGCCGGGTGGTGAATGTGCAATCCTAAAGAATCTCATACTAATAGAAAACGGCCGTCCAATACTTCAAATATTTCAATCGCATATATTCTGTAATATTAAACGATTATCATTCTACAAAGGCTGATTATATAGGGTTAAAATCAACCACCAGAACTATATATGATCCATCTTAGTTCTTATTTATTCCTTTATATATTTACGTAAGCTTTGTCTCTCCTTATTCAGATATATATATTTACAACTGGTATATTACTCACTTAATTACTTACTTCTGTTACTCAGCCAGTCAACAACGTAGAACTTTGTACGTATGCACATCAGTTCGAGTTGACATACCACATTAACACAAAGATGCAGTTATCGATTAAAATCCCATAGTGGTAAACGTAGTCAGAGTATGAGCAGTAATCGGGATGATTAGGGTTTGAAGATGTTATTCAAGGAGTATAATCCAGTGAAATAAATTTGGGAAGAGAAAAAATAAAGGACATGAAGAATTCAGAAGATTAGAATTTGGGAGAACACAAAGAGTGGATGCATCTGCGCTATCGCAAACGATTTTGAACCATTCCATTCAAGGTCTCTAACCATTGATTGCTATCATCTCTCGGTTCCAAACCAGGTAGTCTACACCTACCAAACACGGCTCACTTTGTCCACTTGTCAGTGATTTCATGGATTTGTGCCATGTTTTGCTCTGGCCGCCTCTAGTTTTCTTTGAATCTACTGTTACACCGTTGAACATTGCACTTTGGGGCAGTCGGTGGTCGGATATACGTAACACGTGTGCCAGCCATCTCAACTGATGAAGTTTCATTACTTCATCAATTCATTTTCCATCCTTACCTAACACCCGTTCCGTAACAACTGCGTTTCTCATTTGATTGTACCAGGATATACGAGCAATGCTTCAAAGACACCTATAATCGAATACGAGGTTACCTATAGCTCTTCTGGAGTTACTGCCGCTTCCTAGCTCGGATAAAAGAGGCGGATAAGGTATAGGATTAGCGACCCCATCCTGTAGAAAACGAATTATTCAATAAATTTATTCAAAATAATCTTTACTTTCTCTTTACTATTTCTAGTTACATATTGAAAATCATTCATTAATCGATATTCAACCAAGACGATGTTTATTGAAGCCTGGTGAATATACTGAAATTATAATCACATATCAACATAATTTATCTGGTTGTCATCAATTACCAATAATTTGGAAAATTAATGGTGGTCGAGAAATTAAGGTGAATAATTTAGTTTTCTTGTTAAAATTACACAAAACAATAATTCTTTTAAATATAGATGGTTAATAGTTAGTAGTATTTGGATGTACCTACATCCTAGAGTTGATGTTCACTCCGGAACTCGAACCCAGTACTATTCACTTCAAACTGTATTGTGTTATCCACTTAACTATGAAGTCCTTATGATCAACTGTTTGTGCAATCAGGTGAAGTTGTTGTTTAACTTGTATCTTCCCATTTTTTTAAATTTAAGATTGCAATTGATCCTCCATCTTTCCTTAAAAAGCTTTTGATTTAAGGATATATTGAGGCAATCTACACAGGATGCACATATGCCAACATGAGGCTGATCAATTGCAGTCCTAAATAACAATGGGAAGATACAAGTGAAACAACATCAAATGAATTAATTCTTGTATATCAGATGTAAAGTTTTCAGCATTTGTATATGAAAGGTGGATTTTATTTTATTTATTTATTTATTTTAACACAGATATTGATACAAGGAGACACCAAATACATATGCGCCACATAGATCTCATTTGATATGTGTGAGGGCTGTGATACTGCACGGGTGCCCAAACCGAAGCAGGTGGTTTCTTTAGGGGACCACACCTCGAGCCTTCAACTTGAAGTTCTGATCCACAAGGCAGTGGAGCATCGTAAGGTGATGCAGTCCCATGGTAGCCGGTGACCAACGATTGGTTCATACGCCATTTGTTCCCCGAGGATACTGGGGCTCATGTGCACCATTGGTTTGGGATCCGGTTAAAGCGCCAGACATTCGCCTTTCGTCCTCTCATTTTCTTAGACAACACTTCCGCCACGAGAAGGGAGTGAGTAGGACTTCCCTGGTAGAGGCTATATACGCTTGGCCATGTGAGAGCATTTCGAGAGGGAGAGTGGACTCTCCCCACTCTCGACCGTACCAGGGCATTTGGGGGCTGTTCACTCACTGATCTTTCCAACAAATATACGAACCTAGTTATCAAAGTACATGGAAGAAACTTGCAGACAATTACCGTTAGATTTGTATATACTTTTCCAGTAATACTATAACTTATGGACGGCATTTGAGCGACACCAGACTGACATTGAGAGTGTTCACCTATTACCCAGGACCAAATGAAGGTTATAAACAAGTGTGAGCAATTAGAATTATGATTTATAGTTGATGGTTAACGTTAGCAATTATATTTAGGGTTTTCATCATGAACTGATATCAGCTATTATACCAAAACTACTTAACCAAATGGATTGGCGAATTTCGCACCAAAATCCAAGGCCTTCTATCTAATACGTGATTGATTCGTCCATAAATTATAGTCTCGCCATCAAATACGAGAACGGATGTTTGAATACGTATATTTTGTACAATCATTGATCCAGGCAGACGATCAAATGAACGAGGTGAAACGAAATGATGCACAATGGAGAAGACCAGTGAACCAATTCCATTTAATCAAGCGTTATTCAATATTTATAGTCACACAAAAATAAGCTACAAACATGCGTTGAGTAGGATAAAAAGTGTACACACATACGCTTATACAAAAACAGTCAAAGTTGATAATTGAATAAGTAACAAGGTCAAAACGTGACTCAAATAGAATGGATTAGCTGACCTATCCAGAAGCTAGAATAAGTTATGTGAACTTAACATAGTAACCAACACTACAGGTTTATCATAATGATATGAATAAAGAAATTTTCCAAACTTAGTTTGTCAATTATTATGGATAATCAATCAATCATTGAAATGTACAAGCGACCACATATATCCGACGTTTTCACCAACACAAATACTTGATGGTTGTACGGGCCTTGGATAATCGTTTAGTTTTCATCAGCCGCTTACAACCTGTGATATTTGAAAATTATAATTACGTAATAAGTTTAAATTATTTCCATGAAAGAGGTTAGTTGGAAGTTATATTGAAGATACATAAACTCTTCTTGTATTTATTACATCACTGTCTTTTTATTTTGACTGTTTTCCAAATTAGCAATCTTATTTTATCAACTGAACTCTACTCGCTATATTCCTATCAGCGTTTACTCATTATGTAACCACTTGTTTCTAAGCCATTTGAACTATTGTCACAATCAATATTGTAGAATGTTCTTTCATCACATAAAGTATATATATATTTACAATATTCCGTCTATTCAGTTTACTTAGACCCTTGCTATACTATACGAATATGTCTTCAATATAACTTCCAACTGAACCCCTTTCATGTAAGTCACTAAAACTCATTATATAATTAGGATTCTTAAATATCTGAGGTTGTAACCAGCTGATGAGAACCATATGAAATAAAATGAATTCATACTATTCTGCTAGAATCTTTGTTCTTGATTAAAATTTGAAACAAAGGCTCTAAAAAAGTGATCTTTTTCTACGTTTTGTTGCTGATATTAATGATCAATAAATCTGAATACCGTCAAATCTGACACCTATTTTTGCTTAATGGTGATAAGTCTTCTAATTGAATGCTAGATTTGGTTCCTAAGCTAACCTAGTGAAATCCCCACAGTTAAATCTACACAGCGATTTGATGAACACAAGAGAAAAAGCATGAAATATGTAAGAAAAACTTTAAGATGGTGGAGAAGATTTGTAGTTCAGGTGGATGATTTTGATGGAATTTTGTTCTCTGAGCTGAATGGTTTGGTAGTGGAACTTTCATCATTCTTCTGAACGAAATCATCAGCACTTCTACCTAAAGTTTGTGCTAATGATATCATTCAGAAGAATGATGAAAGTTCCACTACCAAACCATCCAGTTCAGAGAACAAAAATCCATCAAAAAAAAAAAAAACTTTACTCCAAGGATAAATAACATCTGGAAAAATCTAAAAAGGATTACCTAAGACATGGTTGGATGGAAAGTGCTAATAAGTAACCTATACTCCTTCATGAGGTGTAACAAGCGTAAATAAATAAATAAACTTTACTTCAAAGATTCATTATTGTACAGAAATTCTAAGGTTTTTTTTCTTCTTAATTTAAGATGCTTTTCAGCGTTTTCAAAAATTTTCATTTCTACGGAGTTTTCTGGATCTACCCCCTCCCCCCTAGCAACAAATGATAATATAATACAGTCGTACTGTTGTTTGTTTGTTTGTTTGTTGTTGTTTTTTTGTAATTTTCAATTTTTTCTTTATTTTTTTTTAATTAGTTAAATATGATTGGAGTTACTTTACCATTAAATCAACCATATTTACAATTAATGGATCGTAAATATATATTTCATCCAACCCCAATTGGATTAGGGGATTATCGTTTAGGTTATTTATATCAAATGAAATTAAGAAATCCTAGTTCAAAAACAATTCGATTTCATCTTAGTTCAGTTCAATGGTTAATAAAACAATCAATCAATCATGAATTAAATCAATCAGAAATCAATGAAAAATGTATTGAATATGGTTTACCTATATTATATTGTATACAAAATCAAGGATTAATTGAATCTAATGGATTATATAGATTAGATTGGAGATTTCGTCCTATAGAAGCTAAAACATATACTGTAAGTTTATATTAAATATATTTGTTTAAAATAAAATTATCTGTTGTTAGGATATTCCATATATGCCTGTATAAATATTGTCAGTCAGTGGTCTTGAGTGTTGTTAGACGTATAAGAGTGGTTATTGAATCTTGGTTGCCCATACTGTGCAATGGTTCTTCTGGAGGTCCTTGAAAAGGAATTTAAATTAGAGGTGGTCTTAGTGACATGAGAGTGCGATTGCAGTGTCCAAGGGACAACTGCTTGAAGTCGATCACTCACGACCTTTTTATGAGTAATTATGGTATTAGCTCCATACTTGTTGAAACCTTACCACCGAAGACGGATATCCGTGGGATAAGGCGAGGTGTGCCCCTATGAATCTGGTGTTCATCTTACTGTGCTAATGAGGTATAGCAACTTGGACCGATGCATATATGTACCTGGTCCTACGTTTTAGCTGACTGACTGACTGAGATTACCAATATCTATCTGCTTGAAGTCGGTCACACACGACCTTTTTATGAGTAATTTTTGTGTTAGCTCCATACGTGTTGAGACCTCACTGCCGGAGATGGATATCCATGGCATAGGGCGATGTGTACATTTTTAAGGTTGACCCTTTCTAACCCCACCCCTCCTTATGGGAAGGCAACATTGCTGTTATTCTGATTGTCTGAAGAAAACATCTTACTGCTGTCACACCTCTGTACAGTCACTAGTGCGACTTCATTCTCGGACCTTGGGTTTGTCGCTTTTAGTCTTACCGCTCTTCAGTCGACCTGTCTGGCATGGTACGACCTTGAGAAACGGTTGTTCCAGCTAGTTTAGCTCGATTGGTTCATCATAATAGGCAAGCCTGACCACCACGTCAAGGTAGCAGCAACGGTTAGGACATAACTATTGTAGTTTACCATCAATGATTGATTTATATAAACATTGAGCTATTGCCTTGAAGCCTGAAACTTCTGAATTTGACTCTCCTGGTGAAGTTGTGTATATGAAATGTTAAATAGTTCCCAACTACAAAAAAAACCCAGTTGTGCAGTTACTTACGCCTGTTACTCCTTGTGGAGGAGCATAGGCCACCCACTAGCACTCTCCATGTCAACCCTGTCCTGGGCAATTCTTTCCAGCACACAGTTTCCAATAATAGTTCAATCAAAGTCAGTTTTCAAATTCAACAATTTTTACAGCTTCCAATGTCAAAAAAGAAACTTTGACCAAAAGTTAAATATTTGACTGTTACATGTTTTGTATTGATAACCATTAAAGAATTCATGAACACTGAAAAATATTTATCTTTATTCAATTCTTGTATAAGACTCTTCAACATAGTGTTTCGTATTTTTGATTGTGTGGTGGTCGGTATTCAATATAATCCTTAATCTTCGTATACGGTTCATCCTGATAGTCGTCACTAAATAACACCCCAATGGTGTATTAATCCGAAGGCGAATACGAAGTGTTGATTACATTTATTATTGCTGATAGCCAAAATTATAGGTACGCTATGCAATCATGAGAGAGTAATGCTGAAAAGCAAGCAGGCAAGCGAGTGAGTCAGCTAGTCAATGGACATATATATATATATATACATAGTGAAATGATTGAATCATCAGATCAGTTGAGCGACTAATAGTATGGTTAGCAGAATGAATGTATAAGCGTAAGCAGTAAGTAATGCTCAAGCATACATATTCATACAAGTGCGACAATAATAAAGGTACAACGATATAGATAAGTTGTTATTGTACGAATGACTCTATCCATTAAATAAGTTAACAAAAGGTCTTAACCAATTTAAGTGTGAACAAACTCAATTGCATGTGAGCTGTCATAAGATCATCCTTGTTCATCGATGATGCTGATCAAGTCATATACTGAAACATCCCACCTGTTTGCGAGTTTCTCCATCAAGTATGATTGGGTCGGTTAGTGTTCTTCGTGTTGTGGTGGTAACCTCTTTGACTGTGAAGCTGAGCTATATACGGAATGGATTATCGGTGCACATTACTGATAAGTTCCAATAACTATCTTTGATTAGCCTTCATTCTAAATATTTTTATGTCGTATTTAGTCAAAACTTAAGCTGCCTAACTATTTCACTACTAAGAACTTGACTTGTATTACACTTAAATTGTGCTTTATTGTTGATGATTAACTCCGCCTGGAGTCCCTTTCCGGGGGCTACTGCCGGTCCCAAGCCCGGATAAAGGAGGAGGGTTGGGCATGGGGTTAGCGACCCCATCCCGTAGAAAACTAACTCGCTAAAAAAACGCTAACCAGAAAAATTTTATTGTTGATGATTAGCTAATCTAATTTATATACCTACTACATTTCTGAATTACACTGTTATAAGGTGTATAAGCCAACTCAGGTGAAACTATAATTTATGAACGACCCTTGAGCGACACCAGACTGACCTTGAGAGTGTCCACCTAATAACCAGTAAGGAATAAAAATTATGATTTACAATTGATGATTAAGCTTAGGAATTAGATTTAGGGTTTTCATTACGAACTGACATCAGCTATAATACCAAAACTCCATTTATCCAAATGGATGAGTGAATTTCGCGCCAAAATCCAAGGCCTCTTATTCTATACGTGATTGGTTCGTCCACATATATATGTTCATATAAAAACAGAAGTTAATAGATCAGCCTCTCTGGAAGCTAGAAAAAGCTATGTGGGCTTAACATAGTAACCGACACTCTACAAGACTTAGTATATATAGGAGAAAATAGTGAAAAATCAAATTAAGTCTATAAATCTACAGGAAACATTGTCGGACATAAATAATAAATGGAAAGCCTTAGCAACTGTTTGACGATGAATAATAAGTCTTTTGAGCTAGAAGTAACCTCTTTAGTATACAATTAAACAGATGAGAATACACATTGTTACATACATTAGTCTCTAAATATGAACATTCATTACTTACTTACTTACGCCTGTTACTCCCAATGGAGCATAGGCCGCCGACCAGCATTCTCCAACCCACTCTGTCCTGGGCCTTCTTTTCAAGTTCCATCCAATTCTTGTTCATTTTTCTCATATCTATCTCCATTTCTCGGCGTAATGATGAACATTCATAATACACTTAAAATAACATCACGCATGTATAAAACGTTTAAGAAATACTTTGTTCTAATATATTGGTTCTTATCTTTATTGATTCGATCAATGAATATTGATATTGATACTAGATAATATGACTTAATACAGGATTGACAGATTAGATCAATAGACAACTTGATCAATAGATCTTTGGACATATATCTCAAACATTCAATATCGGATAAACGATTTTAATCGTGATCAACATCTTTGATTTCTGTGTTAGATTACTGGTGAAAATCTATGTGAATCCCTAAATTCACCTTACTTATCAAAATTACGGATAGATATTAGTAATCTCAGTCAGTCAGCTACAACGTAGGACCAGGCACATATATGCATTAGTCCAAGTTGCCATACCGGATTAACACAGCAAGATGAACACCGGATTCATAGGAGCACATGTCACTTTGTCCCATAGATATCGGTCTCCGGCAGTAAGGTCTCAACAAGTATGGAGCTAACATGAAAATTACTCATCAAATCGTCGTGTGTGACTAACTTCATTCAGTTGTCCGTTGGGCACTGTGATCACGTTCTCAGTTCACTAAAACCACCTCTAATCCAATTCCCTTTACAGGTACCTCCAGAAGAACCCTTCCACGGTATGGGCAACCGGGGAAGTGATAACCGCCTTCATACCTCTAGCAGCACTCAAAACCACTATATTGGTAATCTATGCTAACTAGTGCATGAAATTAAAGTCTTCAGCATTCTGTGAATTTCCTATAAACATTTACATGATTATTTTCTAATAATATGTAACATAACAAAATTGTATATAATTTTTCAGGCTTATTGTTATATTCATATTGTGGATGCTGAACTACCATCAGTTACTAATCAATCAGTCTATTCTGATACTATTCTATTAGAATTAGTTGCAATTGGATATGATTCAAAACAATTAGGACCTAAAGAAATCATAGCTAATCCACAACGTGTTCAAATTCCAACGGCTATTGAAGTAATTATACATATAAATAGATTGTTTATAGATCATTTTAAATGTTCTATTTTTCATAACAGCAATTCAAGGTTTCACAAGTGTTTTCTTTTTGTACACTCTGATGGATAATACTTATAAGTAGTATACAAATGATTCTTGTCAAATACTGATGTTATATATATATATAGACTATTGGACTGAAAATGTAAATTAATTAATATGGGTACCATATGTGGGTATCATATGTGAATCCTCTCTAACGATCTATAATATGCAATGATGTCTAGCATGGAATTAACTTTCAAAAAAAAAAAAAAAACAATTACTAGCGGTAATATGAGAGTATGTCATGAATCTATGAAGTCACTAATTGCTGATCTGAGTTATGGGACGTAAGTTTAGACGTTTTAGTCGGTGTCCATGCCCACTTGTCAGTCAGTCAGTCAACAACGTAAAAGTTTGTACATACGCACATCAGTTCGAGTTGCTATACCACATTAGCACACACATGCAGTTGTCGATTCAAATCTCACAGTGGTAGAGGTAGTAAAAGTATAAGCAGTAATTGGAAAGATTAGGGTTTTAAGATGTTATTCAAGGAGTATAATCCAGTGAAACAAATTTGAAAAAATAAAAAGGAAAGGGACATGAAGATAACAAATTAACTTAAGATCGTATTTTACATTCCTACTATGTTGAGTATAGTAATGATAATAATTAATATCAGAAGGGGTTTTGTGGAGATTGGAAACAATGGTGGATGTGTCGTTCAATTTCATGGATTAGTTGAAATCAGATATTAACACCGTTAAATACGGGCTCAATGGTCTAGTGGTTAAGTAAGTGCTTGCGCGCGAAACCAGTAGGTACTGGGTTTGAATCTCGTAGAGGGTGAGGTCGTAGATTCGCACTGCTGAGCAGTTCCATAATAGGACGAAACGGCCGACCAGTGTTTCCAGGTTTTCCATGGTAGTCAAGCTTCAACTAACTTATGATCTTAACCATTAAAATGATAATAATTGTTTACTTAGAATCTCTTCAAATATCCCAAGTACCCCTTCGGCTATGAAATATAACTGGTACATGCTCTTAAGAATTCGAAGGATAAATAAATGAATGAATGCAACATGTCCACTTACTTTATTTACTCAGTCTGAGAAGTAAGTGAGTGTACTGATATTATACTGATATTATTTATCCTTTGCAAAATACTCTCCATTTTTATTAAATCATATATCTTATCTCCTTGTCAACTGTTCCTAGAACATCCACAGAATGAGAGTTAAAAATTAAACTTTTTACTTGCCTTCACTGTTTCACTTTCCTACATCGCTCCTGCATAACTATTCTGCTCTTTAAGATCAAGGGGAGAAATTTCCGAGAACTAAATTTGATAAGGAAAGGAGGTGTTCCATAGCAGTGATTGAATGTTTGGATCGATCTTCCTGACATATTATCTTTTCAATTTTGACCATTATAATTTAAATGTATAATTTCATTTATAAATTTCTTTGTCTTTATGTTACCTTAATTACTTTGCTTACTTTACACCTTTTACTCCCAGTGCAGTATAAGCCGCCAACCAGCATTCTACAACACACTCTCTCCTCGGCATTCCTTTCTAATTCCCTCCAATTCTTGTTCATTCTTCTTATGTTTGTCTTCATTTCTCGACGTAATGTGTTCTTTGATCTTCCTCTCCTCTTCCTTTGACCTTGAGGATCCAAGTGAATGTTTGCCTTGTGATGCATTTGGATGCTTTCCTCAACGTGTAACCTATCGACTTTCAGCGCTTCCTCCTGATCTGTTCATCTGCTGGGATTTGGTTTGTTTTCTCCTACAATTGATTGTTGCTGATAGTGTCTGATCAACTGTTAATAAACACTTGTATTTTCTGGATGATGATTGGGGTAGTTCTTCAAGTTTTCGCCCTATACAATAGAACTACCTTGACATTTCTATTGTATATTCTGACCTTGATTTTGGTTGACAAATGTTTTGAGTTCTAGATGTTCTTCATTTGTAAATATGCTGCTCTTGCTTTGCCGATCCGCGCCTTCATATCTGCATCAGATCCACCGTATTCATCAATAATGCTGCCCAGGTATGTGGAAGTTTTTACATCTTCCAAAGCCTCTCCGTCAAGTGTGATTTGATTGATGCATCTTGTTTTGTATTGGAGAATCTTGCTTTTCCCTTTGTGTATGTTGAGACCTACTGTTGCTACACTGCTCATCTTCTCCTACATTTGTTGTTGCGTGTGCGGTAGATTGGTCAGATCATCCACAAAGTCTAAATCGTCCAGCTACATCCTAGATGTCCACTATATCCCGTGCTTGCCCCGAGATGTTGACATCTTCAATACTTTGTAATTATCTTAACAGATTTTGTTTAATTTCATCACAAATTCCAAGTTTAACCACTGTTCGAACATTTATTGAACAGATCTTGCCAATTTTGTTTTATCCTTTTTTAAATGAATAACAGTTGAGTTCCTAACCAAAAATAAAATTAGGTTTATAGTATAATATTTGTCTTATTTTACAGAATCATATCATCTCTTTGGATAGAAATCCACAATCAATCATTCAATCCAACAATGATGAAGAGGATTTGACTTTTCGAAATTTTCCTCCATTGGCACGTCGAATTAAAACTCCAATTGATTCATGGGTCAGTTTATCACATCATTTAATAGAATTACATCGTATTATTCTTGGAACACGTTGTAGACGTTTAATTCATATGACAAATAGATTTAGTTCTGATATTAATCGATTACCTGTTAATAATCGATCGGTTTATCGATATCGATGGTTTACAGAATTTCCAAATGATATAGAGGTAAGTGAATTCTATTTACTGATGTGAATAGTTCATTCAATATTAGCTTATCATCCTGGCACAACGGTATATCACCTCAAGTTCTCATAAAATGTCATCATGACAAGATGAAATAAACATGATTAGTCAAAGTCGAAGTGATAGTAGTATCGGTATTAGTGAGAAAAATTCAAATCAAGAAATGTCACTATTGTTAAATGTTCTAAAGTTTTCCTAAGCTCAAAGATCTAACAATGAAGGAATATTTGATCTATGTGATCATGTGTGTGTACCAAAGCATCCCGGTGACTATGAGCCCTAGCTAAGCCCTGAATGATTATTGAGGTCAATATTTTAAATGATATATTAGTCAAATTGATTCCTCTCTTGTTATTATAAGATTATATCAGTTCTTTCATATAAACTGAAAACATTAGCAATTAGGATTAGTCATATGTGGTTGTATTCGGTTCTAAGACTTGAGCTAATATATCAATCAACCTAACTGCTAAAATTGGATCACCATCCTTAGACAATTTTAGAGTTATTTTATGAGGTCGCACTGCCTCTCTCTTACTTGGTAACAGTGCCCCATACTGAATACTTTTGAACAATCTTGGCTACGAGATTTAAATGCCCAAGATTTGGTCTCTCGAAGAGTTGGAGGTTAACATTGTTGGAAACTATTATACTAGAGTGAGACAAATACCCATACACTCTACTGGCACCTTTCATTATGGTATATTTCCAGTAATGATCGATTCATGTTTCCTGGTTCATGTATTCTGATATTCACAGTCCATTGAATAACGATTTCGTATAATCAAGAATTTCATCAAATAATTATGATTATTAATTTCTTGTCTCTTAGCTTAGTTTGATAATTCGAACCCTTCTTGTTGAAAAGAATCAATGAAAAACATCATCAACTATAGAGTTACTTCAAATTTGATCTTAATTATATTACTGGTTGAAATGATGAATCCATTGAAGCTAGACCACCATAGAAAACCTGGAAGCACTGGACGGCCGTTTCGTCCTAGTATGGGACTCCTCAGCAGTGCACATCCACGATCCCGCTCCTCGCGAGATTCGAACCCAGGACCTCTCAGTCTCACTGTTGGGTGCCGGCTCAGTGGTCTGGTTGGTTAAGAGCCTGGCGCGAGACTGATTAGTCCTGGGTTCGAATCTCGCGAGGAGCAGGGTCGTGGGTGCGCACTGTTGAGGAGTTCCATGCTAGGACGAAACGGCCGTCCAGTGCTTCCAGGTTTTCCATGGTGGTCTAGCTTCAATGGATTCATCATTTCAACCAGTGAAATTTCTAAAATCTCTACAGAATTCCTTCTGATATTAATTATATTAGTTTCAACTATCATTAGTCTCTTATTGTTATATCCCGATAAGAATAATGAATGGTAACTTTTGGGATCCATTTGTGGACCCATACTATGCTCATATTCATGTCCCTCTTATTATAAGCTTTATTTTGACCTATGAACTATTATTCTACGATTTACCATTCTCGAATTATGCCCTGTCTATTAATTACGGTCTCCCACATTCACAGCCACATTTGGCCAAATCTTGTACAAATATTATTTTCCATTTTATGGTACGTTGTGGTCTGTTTGGTTGGTAATACAGACTCAGTATGTTTGAAATAAACGATTTATATTGCAGAGGCTGAGATTTGTGTTCTGGACTTAACTGGTTGGGTTAGGCGGAAAGCAAAACCAATCAGGACTCTAAACTGCTCGCAAGTGTTTTACGCGTCATTGGCCCTGTCGATAATTCACTGCTCTCTGATTGGTGGTATCCTTACGTTATACATTAACAGGGCACTCAGGCCACAAGTTATAACACTTATACATAGAAAACTATAAGAGTACAAGTTAACAATTTATTTCCATCACCTTTTTATTCCTCTTATGACTTTTAGATTGTTACCATTAGTCCAAGAACAGGAAGAATTAAACCTGGTCAAACAATTCAAGAACTGGTTACTTTTACAGCTAGTGGATTACCACGTTTTACTGAGATAAATCTAATTTGTGAAGTGAGTGGTGTATATTTCAACTTTAGGACTGTTATGCTTTTTTGTTTACAGTGATAAGATCTGATCAGCAATGAAAGACTAGAAAAAAAAAAACGTGAGATTGATCATTATTCAATGATCAATCAATTGTAAATATCTCAGTCCTATAGAAGGTCAATCTCGGCCAGAATAGTTTATTGGTTATGTTTAAGAATGTGAAGCTAACTAACATCGGTTCGTACTCAACAGGCAACCTTAACTTGCATGGAACTACCTCCGAACATCTAGCATATTTACATTGTATTAATAATTCTATTCCATTCTTTAATCTAAGATTTTTGGAGGAACTATCAAGAAACTGTGAACATAGATTTCATATTAGTTAACACTCGTCAGTAATTCATTTTTACAATGCTATAATATCTGATATTCCCTATGATTTTTGTTGGGATCTTTTGAGTATTCTTCCATAAATTCTACAGAATCCAAGAAAAGACTGAAACATCATATCTAATTAATATTTGATTGAAAATTCCTAGAACAATCTAGTACATGGATGGATTATATTCCACACTCTATTTCGACATTAAATTTAGCACTCTGTCAGATGTTTTCAGAAGGTTAAGGTCATCCGTACACTTATAAGTGACTTTACTTTCTGTTCATAAATTAACCTTGAAGTAAAGCTTCTGTTCTTACCACGCTGCTCTCCTTTACTGTTCAAAGCTTATGTGTAGAAGAATTCTAAGGATCACGAATGTCCGGCGCTTTAACCGGGATGGTGGTCACAGAGAGTTCACCTAGGGGAGTTGGAAAACCCTGATTCCAAACCAATGGTGCACATGGACTCAAGTACTCTGAGGGAACAAATGGCGTATGAATCAATTGTTGGTCACCGGCTACTATGTGACTTCATCTTCTTACGATGCTCCACTGTCTTGTGGATTAGACCTTTAGGTCGAAGTCACCAGATGTGGCCATGCTTCGGTTTGGCTCCTAAGCAGTATCACAGCCCTTACACAAATCAAATGAGATTTGTGTGGCGCATATGTATCTCGTGATCTGCAGATTATTCGTCTCAATTTGATGAACTGTCTAACATGGAATTATGATGAATCACAATATCTCAGCTTCACTTCTATATAAATGAATATAGAAATAACATAATTCATAAAAAGACAATTAATATTAATTAGTAGTATTTGATTCAATTCGGGAAAGTAAACACATTCAAATGAATTCTTTATAATGTATCTATATTATTCGGTAGAATACTTAGTGCAATATCGATACATTTTAAAACCAAACCATGAAAATATCAGCTTGGATAAAAAGAGACGACTTGGACTTCGAAGATCATCTACCTCTTTCATCCCATGGACACCAAAAAATGTAGATGAGGACAGGCAGTGTAGCAGCAGTTTCTGCATCAGTAGACATCGACATACACAATGGAAAAAGCAACATTCTTAAATACAACATAGAGAACACAAACCAAACCAATCACCCTTGATGGAAAAACTGTGAAAGATGTAGAAACTTCCACGTACCTGGGTAGCATAATCGATGAACAAGGTTGATATGGATGCAGACGTAAATGCAAAGCAAGGACATCATTCTTACAACCGAATGAAATATGGAACTCAAAACAACTGTCAACCAATGCCAAAGTCAGAATCTTCAATACGAACGTCAAGACAGTTCTAATGTATAGAGTTGAAACGTGTAAAACTACAACCATCATTAGAAGAGTACAGATATTTCTAAACAATTATCTACACAAGATATACAATGTCCGTTGACCGGATATCATCAACAACAGCCCACTGTGGGAGAGAGCAAACCAGCTTCCATCTGAAGAGGAGATCAGGGAAAGACGCTGGAGTTGATGAGTGGGACATACATTTCAGAAATTACCGAAATGCATCACGAGGTAAGGCCTAACTTTGAAACGGAAAAGAGGAAAACCAATGAGCACACTGCGCCGAACATCGGATGCGGACATCTAAAGAATAAAGCTGAGGAGTCCCACAATAGGACGAAACGGCCGTCCAGTGCTTCCAGGTTTTCAATGGTGGTCTAACATCAATCGGTTCATGATCTTAATCAAAAACTTAACAATCTCCACAACACCTAAAATGTATTTTAATACAACAGCATAGAACAACTTAGTAAAATCTAATAACCATACAGTAAATACTTCATTTGCGAAGTGTCCAACAATTGTCTCAGAATTGATCGTTCCTTCATTTTCACAGCAATCATTCACTGTTCTCGTTCTTTTCTCTTCGATCTTCTTAACCTTCTACCTCCAGATATTCTACTATTGATTGGTGATACATACTACTTATATCTGTCGATATCAGTAGCACAAACCACAATACCAACTACTAACATAACCAATAGATCGTCATATATAAATAAATGTTAAATTACACTTGTTTCATAAGTTAACCAATAAAGTACTAAACTCGGAGAATATTGTAACAATATTTATCAACCAGTAAACAAAATAGTATATCCAGTGATTTACACGACCCTTAAAGACAGGGCAGTCTGCAGAGATCAGAGTCAATAACATATATTTAATGCTCTGATTCATGTGTAGAGGTTAAAGTATTATTCAAGCATCGATTCTAGGAACGCTCTCAACTCCTAGACGAATAAGTTATATGTTCATCATTACCATGATTATTATTATATTCTCTTTATTATTTAGTTAATCGATGAACATGAAGAGAACAAATATTGTGAAGAATTAAAGGCTTGGCAATCTGAATTAGATAGATTTAAAGTTGAATTTACAATAACAGAGAATGACTTAATAAAAACTAAATTGAAACCAGAACTCATCTCATCAGAATCAGATGAGATTGATATTGATGAGTTTTGTAAAAAATGTCCAAAACCAATTCATACCAAACCAATTTACATTTACCTTACAATCAGTGCAGAAATAATCAATAATGAAGCTGCAAAAATCTATGGTGTAAATGATGAAGGGAAAACATCATTGATTGATTAGTAAGTAAAATATTTTTCTAATATAGATCATTGATGGAAATTAATGTAATATACATCATTATTTAGACAAGAAAGTATTGGACAGTCGTTCCATCGTAATATGGAACTTCTCAGAAGTACATATTCATGACCATATCAAGAGTTGAAACCCAAGAGCTTAGAGTTTCAACACTCTGACTATAAAAATAAGAGATACACTCTAACTGTAGAAGTATCAATTGGGAACTCTAGGACTAGATAATGAACACTGAGTTGATGAGGAAGATCAATATAAACAACGAAGTTTGGAGTAAATATAATGATAGAATAAGACCTCTGAAGAGGTATATATGTATAAATAGATTACTGGTGAATTCCAAGTACTTCAACATCTATTGATTTTCATTTAGAACAAACCTTTCTATTTTTACCTTCAAAGTACTAGTTGCTTTAACAATAGATACGTAGACATATGAAATCGGGAATCACTAGATTAGATGTTTGTTTTAAATAATTAGGGTTTCCTCCATATTTTTTTTTTACACAAACTGAAGTGATCAAATGAAATTATATCACAATAAGTATGTATTGCACTGACTCACTAACTGACAATATATATGACCGCTAACCTCATCACATCAGTGATATAGGAAAAAATTTGTTCTGTGATTATGAATCAATTTGTGAATGACACTGTTATAACGTGTGATCCGCCTATTAGAGAGCAGTGTATTATCGATCGAAACACTGACGCATAAAATACGAGCGAGCAGCCTACAGCTCTGATTGGTCCTGCTTCCCTGTCTAGCCCAGCCAATTGAGTCCAGAACACAAGTCTCAGCCTCGGAGATATGAATCATTATATTTCAAACATACACTGCTTATATACCAAACAAACAGACTACATCGTACCATAAAATAGAAAGTAACATTTGTACAAGATTTAACCTTCAGGAAATGACACAAATAAATATTGACCAATAAGGAGATGACACGTTGGAAGAATGTTGACCAATGAGGAAATGACACTACTTCTCATTCAGGAATAGCATTAGATAATTTCTTGGGTATTTTCTGAATACCCCAACAGACACTCATCACGAATTGATTTCAATCGAGGTACCATGAAAAACCAAAGAGAATTAGACAACTGTGTAGTCTTATTAAGGAACTTCATAATAGTGTGCACTGACTTTACCAGGGATCAAAACCTTGGTACTCAATAGCAAATTAATTGATTAATTTGTAACACTCACAAATTAAAAAAGATCACCACAATAGTCCTTTATTCTAACTATAATAGTCAGCTTACCAGTTACTTAGGTCTGAATGAGTTACAAAATTTTTTTTAGTGGAAATTTGTAACCAGTGGAATGGAACGGTTGCTACCAAATTTTTCTAAAAGTGAGGTACTTGTCACAATACTTAGAATTTTTTAGTCTGATCCTTGGTGAGGTTGTAGTTGTAGGTTGTCGAAAAGCCCGACATCTGCCAAGTACCCACTGGTTCTCAGTAGTATCCTAACTGAAACCAATTTATGACGAATATCATTTCACAAGACTCCATTTAGATTTCTGTTTCGTAAAAATACAACCCTTTATTTCCATATGTACCAATTTACGATTACCATTAAAAAATGACTTGTGCTGATTGGTCTTTACGGCAGAATAATTTTTCTAATAAAATTACTCGGACCTTATAGTAGTACTGTTGTGTATTCTGCTTATGCTGACAGATATAAGTAGTATGTAGCAGCAATCGGAAGTATAATGTCTGCCAGTCGAAGATTGATATAAAGTGAACAGTAAGAGAAAAAGGGAGGAATTGGGAGAATCATGAAGTCTGTGAAGGACAGCTGACAGAAGATGTGAATATAATGTATTTAGTGTATGTTTTTCATATTTTATGGAAGCACTGTTTTAGCACACCTGAATTCTTTCTTATTATAGTACAAGTATAAATCTACCTTACTAGCTAAGCGAGCTACTCACTCCCACTTTCGAACAATGAATAGGAGAATTTCGCCAAAAGACGGGCTTTCATTCGTTAACAATTGTATTTTCTCCACGAGTGTCTTCGCCAGCATGTCCTACCAAAAAGTGTAAGGTAGAGAACTCCAGTCAACTGCCCATTGGGATGGAGAATAGCTGAGCGAAGTGGCAGAAATATGGTACACCTAATGATAACGGATGCACATTACAGAGCTACTCACTATTATTACTTGAAAACAACAAGTCTTATTCATGTTCACATGAATTTTATACATTACATCTTAATGTCACTATCTAATTGACTAAAGTTATCAAATCCCTTTCTAACACCGTCGTGATAGCCCATTTCATCAACAATGCCAGGATGTTTGGAATGCGCTTCTCTCCCTCTAAATGCAAGTCGTTGTTTCAGGACTGGCCTGCGTCAACACCTGAACTAAGAATAGGAAGTAAAGTAGTCGAACGCGTTGACAACTTCACTTATCTTGGAAGTCTGGTCAGTCCTAGTGGGTTGGTGTCTGACGAAATCTCAGCACGGATTCGAAAAGCTCGTTTGGCTTTAGCCAACTTACGTCACCTATGGCGAAGGCAAGATATCCGTCTATTAATAAAAGGACGAGTATACTTTACGGCATTGTACTTTACGCCTGCGAAACGTGGCCATTAAGAGTAGAAGATACTTGTTAGCTATTGGTATTCGATTACAGATGTCTTAGAAATATAGCTATCATCTGCTGGGATCACCGGGTAAGTAATAGTGACGTTAGACGCAGGGTATTAGGGAATGATGGTAAATCAGTTGATGAGGTTATGAATCTTCATCGACTGAGATATGGTTGGGCCACATGCTGCGTATGCCTGAACACCAACTACCACGACGCGCAATGCTAACCGGTGTTAGGGATAATTGGAAGAAAGTTAGGGGCGGCCAAACCAAAACGTGGCATCAGTGCTTGAAGTCACTAACTTCTAGTCTCAGCCATGTTGGTAAATGCAGACTGCCTAGTTGTGGTCCGTGTGACTATCGTAACCAATAGATGGAGACTGTGGGTGACATGGCTCAGAATCGATCACAATGGCGTAGGTGTATACACTCTCTGTCTTCTTCTAAACTAAGAGATTAAAATCACTTCAAATCTTTCTTTCTACGAACTAATTCTATCTTCCTGTACTATATACTTATATGCAATCTTTCCTTTATATGTTTCACCATTGAGTTCATTGCTTCTATGAATTTGGTGTTCATCTTGTTGTGCTAATATGAGGTATGGCAACTTGAACCGATGCATATATGTGCCTGGTCCTACATTGTAACTGACTGACTGACTGATATTATCAACACTGATGTTAAAACTAAAGAAAGTGTATTATTTTATCAATTACCTACATGATATTGTTTTTTTTTCTGATTAGCGTTTTTTTTTAGCGAGTTAGTTTTCTACAGGATGGGGTCGCTAACCCTATACCCAACCCTCCACCTTTATCCGGGCTTGGAACCGGCTGTAGCCCCCGGAGAGACTCCAGGCGGAGTTGTTACCTACACAAATATTCTTCTTTCACAATTACTTCTATTTTTCTCTCTCTCTCTCTCTCTTTAGTTCACAATTTTTTAATTCAAATCATTCAGCTGCTAAAGCAATCAGTTCAACTAAAATACAAGATCGTATTTGGTACTTACATCAACAATTATTCATTGATTTAATAACATCATTAATCGATAGTTTAATATTTAATAATGAATTTGTACAAATAATTCAAAATATTGTTATTCCACCAGAGAATATCATTCATACATCATCATTGAATAACAATGAAATCATTGTTGATGATCATGATCATGATGATGAGGATGATCCAGCACCATTATGGATACAAATAAAATCAGATCATTGTTATAAATTGAATGAATTACCAATGAATTACATAAATGATATAAATAAAACAACAAATCAATTAAATAATTGGATACCTGAAATAGTTAAAGACAAAACTAATAAACAAGACATGAAACATATACATAAAGAAACTGTTGACAATATGTGCATACAGTAAGTTGTATAATTATTCCCCACCCCACCCCACCTCTCCACTTTATGAGATATAGGGAAACCTAAAATCCGAGTAAGTGTTGGTAAACATGATCGATTTCCTGTAAGAATTAAAAATCAAACAATCTGTGCATATCTTGTCTATCGTAAAAAAAAAGATAAACCTAAGTATTACCAAATTTGTCCCCGACCGTTGTTGCTACCTTGACGTGGTGGTCGGGCTTGCCTATTGTGATGAACCAATCGAGCTATACTGGCTGGAACAACCGTTCCTCAAGATCCTACCATGTCAGACAGGTCGGTTGAAGAACGGTAAGACTAAAGGCAACAAACTCAAGGTCTGAAGGCGAAGTAGTACTGCTGACTATACAGAGGTGACAGCAGTAAGGTGTTTCCTTCAGACAACCAGAACAGCGATGCTGCCTTCCCACAACGAGGGGTGGGGTTAGAAAAGGTCGACCCTACAAATGCACACTTCGCCTTAGCCCATAGATATCCGTCTCCGGCAGTAAGGTCTCAACACATACGGAGCTAACACAAAAATTACTCATAAAAAGGTCGTGTGTGACCGACTTCAAGCAGTTGTCCGTTGGGCACTGCGGTCCCACTCTCAGGTTACTAAGGCCAACTGTAATCCGATTTCCTTTCCGAGACCTCCAGAAGAACCCTTTCACGGCGTGGGCGACCGGGAAGTGATCACCGCCGTCATACTTCTAACAATACTCAAGACTCACTACCGAATTTGTCTGTATATATTTGTGGAAGTTGTTGAGTTTCATTAAAATTATGAACCAATCAATGCTAGACCACAATTGGATAGCTGGAAGCACTGGGCTAGATTTGTATGAACAGCCACTTCTTTATCGTAGAAATTTTTTATGGGCGACCTGTAAAGTAAACTGGGTAACCAGTGGTCTTCTTGACCTGAGACCTCTAACGCAGTTACCGTGAGACAAATGCTTGTAGCCGGTTATACGACCTTTCTGTGAATCTATGTTAAACTAGCTTCTCAATTCTGAGAATTGACCTCCTCTATGATGAAGAGTACTATCCATAGTACGTGTCGTTCCCAACCTCTTTTTCGGTCTTTTGAAGGGTAATGTGGTTGAAAATTTTGATTGTCTGTAAGAGGCTTCATGATGACATGACACTCCATTTCGAATGAGACATAGCTCTGGCCTTGAATCTGAAGCCTTAAGTTTTACTACTCTCTAGCCAACCTATCTGATGTGATGCGACTTCAATGAACTGATTTAACCCGACTGGGTCATCACGATAAACAATCCTAACTAGTGTTAACATAACGTCTATAGTCGTAATATAATTTGTTTAACATCCAATCTAAATCACTTATTATAAACTAACAGCTTATAGATGGTAAACATTTCTTCCTAGCTCAGTACTTATCAGCCTACATCAGATTAAATCCAAAGATGAACGTCACACTATTGAGTCGAGATTCAGTGGTCCACAAATATTTTTTTAAATGAACTTGTAGTTAGATGTTGAAGTCTCAAGCCACCAATCCAATGTTCCCTGATTTCAAATGATTTCCCAACTAATTTAAAAAAAAAAGGTACTTACATATTATACAGAAGTTCCACAACCTTTTACTCCTCCTCCCCCCCCGTTCCTATCAATAAAATAATTAATATTTTTCAATCATGTTCTAATCATTTTAGAAATCCGGCTATTCAATGGTTAATTGAAGATGCTTTAGCTGGTATATTAAATAATATTCTAGATGAAGTAAATGAGAAAGAATTCGAAATAACAACTAGACCAAGAATAATCGCATTACCACCGATGACAATACTACAGAATAAAATGGAAGATAAATAAATGAACTAAACTATGAATTTTAATAGTCTTAGAAATTTTTTGTATGTAAAGTCGAATGAAACATTATTGAGTCTATACAATACACAGACTAATTTTCATGTATAACTATTGTCTTTGTTTAAAAATATGCAAATTTCTCATTACAAAATGATAGACAATACAGTAGATTAGAGTAAGTAACTACAGAATCCCTCACATTACTGTTTGTTACTCTTAATAAAAAAATAATAAAGGGAGTCGTGAAGAACCAACAGAAGACAGCTTTTTGCAGCTTTCTTTCATACCACGACACCATGTCATACACTAACAACATCTCCGCTTTTTCCAACTAGTCCAAGAGTCGGCAAATAATGCACGACGACGAATTGTCTGGGACGACATTCGTAGAACATGTCCAAGCCACCGAAGTTGGATTGTCGTCTTTGTACCCGAACACACGATGCCGAACCTCTGCATTACTAACATGGTGTTGCCACTAGATGTCAGCAATCCTTCGGTGACAACGATGATCGAACACAGAGAGTCGTCTAACGTCTTCAGCTCGGAGAGGCCAAGTTTAACAAGCATAGAGCAGAACTGCTCTCACCGACGCGTTGTAGATCCGACCTTTTACAGCAAGACTGACATCACGAAGGCACCAAAGACGGCCCAGATTAGCATAAGCCGCTCTGGCTTTCACTATACGTGCACTGATCTCATCACTCACGCCACCATCAGCCCTTATGCAGCCACCTAGATACACGAACTTATTGACTACTTCTATATGCTTACCATCCAGAGTGAGTACAGGATTAGAATCCTGCCAGTCTTGTAGAAGTACTTTGCATTTCGAAGGTGCAAAGCACATACCATACCTACGGACATTGATTGCCAACTGATTAAGTGCGGATTGCATAGCTTGGGCATTATCGCACAGTAGGACAATATCATCCGCATACTCAAGGTCGAGAAGTCTTTCTCCAGGCAACAGATCCACACCACCGTTACTTACATCCATCAGAGCTGTTTCGAGAATGTTATCGATAGCAAAGTTGAAGAGGAATGGTAAGATTGAGCAACCCTGCCTAACTCCACTGCTTGAATGGAACAATGGAAAGAGGTGGTTGTATACCCTCACTCTGCCTAAGGTGTTTGTATATAGGACCCTTAAGATGTTAATAAACTTCTCAGGCACGCCCTTCTTTAACAGACAACCCCAAAGAACATTCCTGTCCAACGAATCAAAGTTCAATCATTACTTGTATTCATTTGACTTTCTTTGATTTTCGTACAAAAAGACCTTGAAGGATATGTGACCAGATTGTTCGTAATGTAGGGAGTATTGCATTTCTCGGACCAACTCCTTACATCTGTGGATGGGATCCATTGTTCAACAATTAAAGAACAACTTAATGTCTAAGTAACTGGTTGTCGAAACCCGAATACATATGGCAATGTTCAAGCTTGAAACCTAATCTCTATAGCTCAAGTTAGTTGGTCATTATTACTTTAGAACCTCGTACGAATATCTAGTGATTTCCGTTATAATCCCCGAAATCATTATAGAAAGAGGACATAGACGAAATGATTATTTTAGCACTTATATACTGTCCTGGTACATTCGAGAGTCAGCCCTCCCTCTCGAAATGCTCTCACATGGCCACGTGCATACAACTACTGCCAGGAAAGTCCCACTCACTACCTTCTCATCGCACGGGTGTTGCTTACGAAATTGAGAGGACGAAAAGCGAATGTCCGGCGGTTTAACCGGGTCGGTGGATCGACCTAGCGGAGTTGGAGAACCCTGGTTCCAAACCAACGGTGTACATGGGCTACAGGATCCTAAGAAAACAAGTAACGTATGAAACTATTGTTGATCATGGGACTGCATCTCCTGACGTCGCTCTATTGCCTTGTGGATTAGATCTTAGGGTCAAAGGCTCGGGGTGTGGCCCCCCTAAGAAAACCAGCTGGTATAGTTTGGGCACCCGGGCAGTACTCCACCCCTCACATAAATCTAATGAGTTATGTGGCGCGTATCTATTTGGTGCCTAATTGCACCAATGTTTATATCTTTAAATAAATAAAATACTGGGGGTTTGTGGAATATAAAATGTCACTGCCTCAATATCCCAAGTGTAAAGGCTAACGAGTTTTTGACCCTTGAATTGGTAAGAATAATATACATGGTCCTGATGAGATTCGCTCTTAAAATATTAATACTCTTCAAAATTACGCAAAACACTGATTCACACTACAAACCAGACTACTAGTTCTTAAACAAATGAATAAATTGGGTTTTTAGTCTATTCATTAAACATAGTAATTAGATAGTTTGAACGAACACACACACACTGATAGTAGCCTTTAAATAGATAAACAAGAGAATAAATGAATATTAACTAGGTAAAGATTTATAGTACAAAAGCTAAAATTCTGAGACAATTGAATCGTGCACAATCGGTAGCATTCAACTCAGATGATTTGAGTATCTTATACATTTACATAAAAAGAACACGATAAACAGATAGACTTTATTGTGCAGCAGGCAAGTTAAGGAGTGTATGTTGACCATCAGGGATATAAGTGATATTTCGATTTTTCGAAAGTTGATAAGCAATATCTTCAGCAGCTTCGATTCGCCTCAATTCAATAAGGCCTTCACCTGAAGATCCAAAAGATTTAGAAAGTAATGTTGCCGCTTCTGAGTCGCCTTCTGCAGATATAATGGCAGCCAGTTTGTGTTGTTCCGCCTTTGTGAATCAAGAAAGAATAAAATATCTTAAGGAATTACAACATAACAACAAAACTACATTTAAATGACAATATAGAGTAAGTAATTTTATTCAATAAGGATACAGACGCCACAAAAGAAGAGGAATCACGAAGTAAACGATATCTTTACTGACTATCGATAAATCTTATACGCTGTTCCACATACTTAAATTAGAGATAGAGTACACGGTAAAATATCTGACTTTCAATCAAGGCAACGGTTAGGTTGACTTGATCACCCAACCCCAAGTATAGTACATATAATATCAAGCAAGTATCTTTCTTCTACATTCATTTAAGGAGAGCTCACCAACTTGAACTGATGTATTTATAAGTCAAGTTTTACATCGTTCGTACGAGCATGATGATTTAAAAGGAATATCTATCTGAGGTACTTCCTCAGAGCGCATAAAGCGACTGTACAAATGTGACTGATAATTTTCACTGCTTTAAAATGACCGTCTGATAGAATTTGTCTTTAGTAGTAATTAATTAAATAATGAAAGTTTTTAAAACTGATTGTCAACTCCCGGAGAACATTTTACCTTTTCTACTAAATATCGTGCACGTTCAGCTTCTTGTTGAGCAACTTGTTTGGCTTCTACTGCTTCTGAAAATTCTCGACCGAAAGAGATTTGTGTCTGTGAGGATAAATAACATACGAAGCATTATTAAACAACAATAATAATATTTTATATTATTAATCTTTTTTATTTGAACACATAGATATTGATACAAGGAGGCACTAAATAGATACGCGCCACAAAAATCATTCGATTTATGTGAGGGCTAGGGTACTGCTCGAGTGCCCAAACCGGAGCAGGTAGTTTCCTTACGGGGCCACGCTCTGAGCCTTCGACTTAAAGGTCTAATCCACAAGGCAGTGGAGCATCGTAAGGAGATGCAGTCCCATGGTAGCCAGTGACCAACAATTGCTTCATACGCCATTTGTTCCCTCAGAGTACTTGAGCCCATGTGCACCATTGGTTTGGAATCAGGGTTTTCCAACTCTCCTAGATGGACTCTCCATGTTCACCAACCCTGTTAAAGTACCAGACATTCGCTTTTCGTCTTCTCAATTTCGTAAACAACACCCCCGCCACGAGAAGGCAGTGAGTAAGACTTCCCTGGTAATGTTTGTATGCACGTGGCCACGTGAGAGCATTTAGAGAGAGTGAGAAGACTCTCCCCACTCTCGGCCGTACCAGGGAATTTAGGGGCTATTATTAATCTAACTTTAGCTTGTTAGCTTAACAACCCTTCTTTACTTAAGCACATTTTGTAGATGTAATACAAGCTTGTATTATTATCATTTTCGTCATATAACAATAGTAAAATACTTTTTATTACGTCATGTTTATTCATTGTCATATTTCACCAATCAATTAAATCTTGATATTTCACAAATATATAGACGATTATACATTTTAACAACAATGACACTTAAACAAACTGCAAATACTCATCATGATGATGATGATTTGTCTAACTTGACTTGTATAACCTCTAATTGTGGTGCGCGCTACTTATATTGATGTAAGTAGAATATGCCCTGGTACGGCTGAGAGTGGGGAGAGTCCGCTCTCCCTCTCGAAATGCTCTCACATGGCCACGCGTATATAGCCTCTGCCAGGGAAGTCCTATTCACTGCCTTCTCGTGGCATTACTGTTGTTTACGAAAATGAGAGGACGAAAAGCGAATGTCCGGCGCTTTAACCGGATCCAAAACCAATGGTGCACATGGGCTCCAGTATCCTGATTATTTATTTATTTATTTTAACACATAGGTATTGGTACAAGGAAGCACCAAATACATATGCGCCACACAAATCGCAATTGATTTGTGTGAGGGCTGTGATACTGCTCGGATGCCCAAACCGAAGCAGATGGTTTTCTTAAAGGGCCACACCCGGATCCTTCGACCTGAACGTCTGACCCACAAGGCAGTGGGGCATCGTAAGGAGATGCAGTCCCATGGTAGCCGGTGACCAACGATTGGTTCATACGCCATTTGTTCCTTCAGGATACTGGAGCCAGCCCATGTGCACCATTGGTTTGGGATCCGGTTAAAGCGCCGGACATTCGCTTTTCGTCCTCTCATTTTCGTAAACAACACTGGTGTCACGTGAAGGCAGTGAGTAGGACTTCCCTGGCAGGGGCTGTATACGCGTGGCCATGTGAGAGCATTTCGAGAGGGAGAGCGGACTCTCCCCACTCTCGGCCGTACCAGGGCATTTGGGGGCCCAGTATCCTGAAGGAACAAATGGCGTATGAACTAATCATTGGTCACCGGCTACCATGGGACTGCATCTCCTTACGATGCCCCACTGCCTTGTGGGTCAGACGTTCAG